AGGTAATACTTTGATACCATAATATTATTATACTATATGTCACTAAGAAGTTGGCATAGAATTCAAAAAGAATATGTGATGGACATTTTTAGTTGATCGTATTCCTTTGAAGTAATAAGAGAAGGCACAGCTTAGGCTGTGCTATGAGATACCATCGCATCAAGGCATCACTTCATGCTCACAGAACATCCAAGAAAAGGATCAAATATTGAGTTCTGATCACTATATTTGAGTTGACAAGCCAAGACAGTGTTCAAAGAATGACAAACAGCTTAGTTCATATCAAAAGAGAATTTACTGGAGGAAACAGGAAATTTTAGTACAAAGAAGACAGGAGAAGATGTGATAACTGTTCAAGTATTGGAACAATTATATTGTGAGAGAATTATTAGAATTGTTCTACTCAATCCCAGGGGGCAAGAGCTAGGGGAAGTCGGTGGACGTTCGAGAGGCAGATTTAGGCTTGATATAAAGAAGGGAAAACTTCCTAACAATTAGAGCTATAAAATTTGGAATGTGCTGCTTTGGGGGGTAGTGGGTTTTCTTATCGTTAGAGTTCTTCAAAAGCTATTGGGTTTGGTATGGAGGGGATTCTTGTTAAGGTACAGGTTAGACTCTGGGGTCTCTTCCTTCTATCTCTGACATTCTGTGATGCAGAATTAACAAGTCACTAAAATATTCTTTCTTATCTCTAATTTTGAGATGATAGGAGTCTCTGTGACATATATTTGTTGTAGAGAGTTCCATGTGGTAGAGTAGAAAGAACCATGGACTTGGAATTGGGAGGCCTGGAATCAGTGAGGTGGCATGGTGGATAGAGTGTTGGACCTGGGGTCAAGACCTGAGTTCAGATCCTGCCTTTGTGATCCCAGACAAATGACTTAACCACTCAGCCTCAGTTTCCTCATCTGTAAAATGGAAATAATAATAGCACCTACCTGCCATTGTTGCGGTGAGGAAAAAATGAGATATTTGTACAGCACTTCACAAACCTTAAAGCACTATATAAACACTAGCTATTATTATCAAATCCTAGCTCTGTACTCACAATCTGTGTGACATGGGCAAAGCACTTACCCTCTCTGATTTTCATCTTCTTTGTTTTAAAATTGGGAATCATAATACTTGTACTACTTATCTCACTGGATAACTAGGATAACTTTGTAAACCATAAAGTGCTTTATAAATGTGGGCATTTATTGTTAACCAACCACCACCAGCAGCAGGTGCTGTGCTGTCTCAGTGTCATGCTTCTTGAGCCCAAGGTCAAATTGTGGCCACAATTTACATAATAAATAACAATGCAGTTTCCAAGAAACCTAGAATAGTTATTACTCTGCTTGCATATTCTCAGAGAAACTTTTTAGACGAGTAGATCAGATTTTTAGGCACCACAAACAAGAAGGATAACTGGTGGATAACCACCTGGGCAAATGATGCAATATCTATTATAAGAATATGGTAACTCGGCTGATATAGGGTAAATGATCCAAATGAGAATTAGCCATCCCTATTCCCCTTGACCCAGATTTTGGCTATACAGACAGATTTCTACAACTACAAGGACAGATGGTCCCAATAAACACAGATTTTCATCAAATGATGGAAAATGGAATCTGAAGAAGACCATAAAGCAATCATTTGATTAGGGAAAGAATAAGGCTACTGCACTTATCTGTGTTCCTATGACAATTAAGGAATAGGTGACTTTCCCCTATCATAAATAAATGATAGAACATAGACTTTACCTGCTGTGCAACAGATGAATTGCTTTAATTCAGATACATTTGAAGGCAGCCAGGTAGTGTAGTGCATTGATTTCTGGACTTGGAGTCAGGAAGAATTGAGTTCAAATCTGGTCTCAGACACTTCCTAGCTATATGACGCTGGGCAAGTCACTTAAGCTCTCTCTGCCTCATTTTCTTTATCTGTAGTATGGGGATAATAAGAGCACCTATCTCCCAGGATTGTTGTAAGGATTAAATGAGATAATATGTGTAAAGTACTATATAAATGCTAGCTAGTATTCTTGATGTAGAAGGCCCATGCATACTCACACATACAAAGGATAATAGATTTAGAACTAGAAGGTATATTAGAGGTCATTGAGCTCATTCCTTTCAATTTACAGATAAGAAAACTGGGTCTTAGAGAGGTTAAGTGACTTTCTATGGTAATAGAAATAATAAGCATCAGAGGTAGTCTTTGAACCCAAGTCTTCTCGAATCCAAGTCTAGCATGCCATGCACTAAGTGATGTTGCCCCTCACACATGTATGTGTATATTCATACACACATTAAGTTCCTAGAATAGATGCTAATTTGTCTGCTGGATTGCTTTGGATTTGTAATAGTAGTTTTTGTTCCAATATGTGATTTAACAGGTGAAGGAAATTACTAGTGAGCAGACTTTCTTCACCAATGAAGTTAGCAACTGTTCTGTAATCTAGAGCCTTAGAGATTTCTATATCTATAACGAGATTGTTGTGTATACACACATGCGTGTGCCCATGCACACAATCTTTAATTTTTGTGCACAGACTCACTACCCGTAAAATAACCAGACAATCTAAATTCAGACGATGGCCCCCTTAAAGTAGCTAAATACCAGGTAACGGTAATAAATTGTATAATATCAAACAAATTTCAAAATAATTTCATGTTTGTGAAATATTCAAGCCTTTCTCCAGTGATTCTCATGGAAGCCCCATGAGGTAAGAGGGTAGGTATTATTAGTCTACTCAGAAACGTGGACTGAGTTGACCAACAAGGTCTCACAGCTACCAAGCTCCCTGAGGGCACAGACTTATTCTATTTTAGTCTGTGTAGCTCTAGCACCTAATATTACTGCCTTGCATATAGTAAGTACTAAATAACTATTTAATTCAATTGAAGTGGTAAAGCTTTAACTAAAATCTAGGGTTTTGACCCCAATATAGTTTTCAATACATTGTATCACCTTCCTTAAATTCCATGTATCCCAAAACTCCATGGGAAATGATGTTTATTCAATACTATAGACACACATTAAGTGCCTACACCATGTAAGCCATTGCTAGGTGCTGGAATTATGACAAAACTAAAAACAATCGTAAAGAAATAACTGGAAAATTTGGTCTTGATGAGGCTTGATCAAGTTAAAAGTTAAGTTAAACATTTTTGGTGTTCGGTTGTAGGTACCACATTTTAGGAGAGGCACTAAAAACATCAGTACATTCAGAGGACATCAATCAGGATGGTGAAAATTATTGGAAGTCATGTCATGTGAAGGCATGGTGAAGAAAATTAGAAGGTTTAGTCAAGAAAAATAAAGACTTAAGAAGAAGTTTGTCTTCAAACATTTGAATGATTTTAGTCTAGAAGAGGGATTAAGATATATATATATATATTGTTGTTGTTGTCCCAAAGGGAAGAAGTAAGGTTAACTAGGATTAAGAAATTACAAGGAAGAATATTTCAGCTCAATATACATAGAACTTTCTAATAAAATATTTGGGCTGGAAGAGTGATTCCATTGGTAGAGCAAACTCCTGGTTAGGGAAACTCCCTTTACCAATTCAAGTTGGCACTTTCTCTGAAACTTATGGTTCCAGAGAGTTGTTTATAGCAGTGGTTTTCAAAGTATGTTCCAAGGACCCTGGAGGTTCCAGAAATCCTTTCAGGAGTTCCATAAGATCAAAACTATTTTTTCACTAATAATACTAAGATGTTTTAATTTCTAATATGATAAATATATATAATATGTATGAATGCATACACACACATATATATGTACATATGTGTATATACATATCTCATATAAACAAAAGCTCTTTGGAAAGTCCTCAGTAACTTTTAAGAATGAAAAAGGGGAGTGAAACCAAAATGTTCGAGAAACACTGACTTAGAGAACTGAGAGGTTAGGTGGTATGCTCTGAGGTATGTAGCCAGTATGTATCAGAGCACATACTGGTTATATGTACCTAGGACAGCTATGTCGTGTAGCGGATAGAGTACCGGGCAAGGAGTCAGGAAGACTTGTTTTCATGAGTTTAAATCTGTCCTTAGACACTTACTAGCTGTGTGATTGCAGGCAAGTCACTTAATCCTGTTTGTCTCAGTTTCCTCATATGTAAAATGAGCTGGAGAAGGAAATGGCAAACCAGTCTAGTATCTTTGCCAAGAAACCCCCAAATGGGTCTCAGAGAATTGATATAACTGAACAACAAAAACAACAAATATTCCTTCAGGTACCTAATGCCTTTATTCATTGCTCTCCTTGACTTACTAAAGCAGGCCCTCTCCTTTTCTAGGTCACTATGCTCTCTGCTCTGTTGCCCATCCAAACCTTTCCCTAACTAATTTCCATACTGTGAGGAATATAATAAACCTATTTGAGTTATGATCTTAAGAGCTGATATCAGGCTTAATGAATTTCCCTACCAAGGATGTTTGCATTTTAACATGAATAATAACTTGACACAAAGACATGAATCTTGAATGTTAGAAATCAACATTAATCACAAGTTAGTTGTAGAGGTTCTGGGGGAGGGGGAAGGGAAAACCTTCCAAGAATCCCTCAAATATTATCACCCAGGTGGCTTTCTATTCTCCCAAATGCATTCCTTCTCTGACATTTATATACTCTTGTCAGGCAAGTTACTTCACTACCTCCTTGGGCATAGTTTCTTCATCTGTAAAATTAAGGATTTGGATGAAATGATCTTTGTAGGCCCTTTGGGCTCTGTATCCATGATCCCTAGGCTGACCCTAACCTTAGGCAAAGTCTTATTTCCAGTAAAGAAAATTCATCCCCTCAGTGTTCTCTACAGAGTAACCTGAGAGAGACGGATGCATTTGTTACCTTAATTCTCCTCCCAAGGCACGCTTTTATTTATCTGTAGCTATACTGATCCCAATAATCTTCAGTGGTAACTAAAACAAAATATATCCACCTGTTTGGAAAAAAAAAAAAACCTAATTCTCAGCCAACTATTTTGCTGGATAGAATTGCTTCATTACCTTCCAGGGGCATCTCCTTTTTCATCAAACCACACCTCTTCTCCTGATACACCAATGAAGGAGGATTTTATGAGGAAGTCCAAGAGCTTACTGCCGTCAATGGGTTTCATAGCATCGCAAAGACCAACATGTCCAGGACAGAGAGCATGGTGCATATTCTGCAGTCCATGGGCCATAGCATAGATAGCATTGATGACAAAGCCCATTTTGCTGTCCTGGACATAATTTTCTTCTAAACTCTCATTGCCTGTAATAATAAAAATAAAATTGTTAGCAAGGAAGAAGAAATAAGTAATCATAGTAAGAAATAATAGAACTATGCATTTTATCTGACCATGATTTAATTCTATTACTATCTTTTTTTTTTTGGTGAGGCAATTGGGGTTAAGTGACTTGCCCAGGGTCACAGACCCTGTGACCCAGTGTGTGTTATGTGTCTAAGGTCAGATTTGAACTCAGGTCCTCCTGACTCCAGGGCCGGTACTCCATCCTCTGCGCCATCTAGCTGCCCTGATGATTTGATTCTAAAGAAAGATTTTTCATAGGATCATAGGATTGAGAGCAAGAAGAGAACTCAAAGATCATTTGGTCCAATCTCATCATTTTACACCAGAGAAACACTTAACCCAGAGAGTTTGTGGCATAGTCTATGAAGCAGGTGAGCTAAGAATTGATCCCACATCCTTGGACTTTAAATTGAATTCTTTTTTTCTGCTATGTCGCTTTGTATTCACAAAATCACTGGGTATTAAAGCTTCAAAGAGATCTCAGAGCCCAACCAAAAGAAATGATGAAACAGACCTCTTCAGAGAAGACTGGGAAGAACCATATAAAGTTATGCAGAGTGATGTATCAAGACCCAGGACGGGAATTTATGGAATAACATTATAAAGAAAAACATCTTTGAAAGAATTGAGGACCCTGATCAGTGAAACACTCAACCATGCTTCCAAAAGACTGAAGATGAAGAATACTACCCACTTCTTGGCAGAGAGATGATGGAATCAAGATACAGGTACATTTTTGGACACCAGCAATGAAGTAATGTGCTTTGCTTGACTACTCATATTTGTCATGAGAGTTGTGTTTTTCTTTTTTTCAATTGGGAAAAAATGTGGGATCAAGAAAAAATAAATGCTTGTTAATTGAAAAAAGAATTTAAACTTTAAAAGAACCAAAAAGTCAAGGGCACATAGGAAGAAGAGAAAAAATGTTCGGTTTGCTGATGCACAGTGCCTGGCACATAGTAGGCTCTTAAGAAATGTTTATTAGATTATATTGGATTGATGCAATGATATGAGGAAACAATGTTAACCCTCTGTTCAATAGCTGTTTATATGTGATTAGAAATATTTAGAGGGGGAAAAGGTACCACCCTTTTAAGAAAGAACCAAGTTTCAAAAGAGAATCTGGGCATGTTGTAAAAATACCCTGGCAGCAGAAAACAGATCAAAACAAGCAACAAAAACAAACAAAAAGCCCTCAGCATTCTCAGCACATTAGGCAGGTAAAGCCCTCAACAAGATATTTCATGGTGCAGAGAGTTGACATGGTTGCCATGGAAAGCGTACCTCAATGGAAAGTAGAAGACCTTGGTTTGAACCCTCTTTCTGCCAGTTACTTCTTGTAGGGCCTTTTACGATGCATTTAATTTCTCTGGTGTTGGTAACCTCTAAGGTAACCTCTAAGACTCTTTCTAGCTCCAAATATGTAATGGAAATATACAGTTAGAGGTATAGTTGCCAAGGAAATTTTTTCCAGATTAGAAGATCATCAAGAGATCATTAAGAGATCATCAAGAAGATCATTAGCTCACATCCAGAGAATAACCCCTTAATATTGTAGTTTTCACCCTCTTGCTACTTCTTTATGAGAAGAGCAAGCAAGGGAGGCTGATGAGACATTTTAAAATCAAATCATAGAAAACAGAAAAATCCATACAGTGGGAAGGGTTCCATCCCATCTCTAGTAAGGTTCCACGGGGCTAGGATTGACTACTCTCCCAGACAGGATCTGCTTTGGCAGATTAGGCTGTCAGCATTCAGACCAAATTAACAAGTATATGGATATAACCATTGCCTAACAGAATAATGGTTAAAGGATATGTCCAAATAGTTCTCAAAAGAAGAACTGCAAAGTATTCACAACCACATGAATGAATGCCTCAAATTACTAGTAATAAGAGAAATTCAAATCCAAACAACCCTGAGGTTTCACTTTACACCCTAACAAATGTTAAAAAATGACAAAAAAAATGGCAACAATGCATATTGAAGAGGTGGAAAAATAGGCACACTAATATATTGTGTGTAAGTGTGAAATGGTATGACTGTTTTGGAAAGTAATTTGGAATTATGTAAATAGAGTGAATAAAATGTCTATGCACTTTGAACAAGTGACTTCATTACTGAACTTACATTTCAAGGAAGCCATTGATAAGAAAAAAGCCCCTATATACTACACAATATTTATAGCAACAATTTGTGTTAAAAGCTAAGACTGAAAAACAAAGTAAATGATTGTCAGTTAGGGATTGCTAAAAAAATCATGGTACATGGATGTAATGGAATATTAGTGTGCTGTAAGAAATTATGTGTGTGATGAATACAAAGCATCATGGAGAGATCTACATGATCTGATGCAGAGTGAAGTAAGTAAAGCCAAGAAAACAATATGCACAGTGACTAAAACAATGTAAATGGAAAGAACAACTAGATATTAAAAAAAATCAAAAGCAAACATAACAAAATTATAAGAGTCAAGTGGGACTCAAATGAAGAGATATGAGAAGACATCTCTGACCTACCCCTTCATGGAGGTGGGAGGTCCACAAGTATTACACGTTGCACATTTTTTTCTAATGTATTAATCAGGTGTTTTCCTCATTTTTTTCTCTCAAAAATCCTATTGGTTATATGGAATGACTCTCTGAGTGGTGGAGGGATACATGGGATACTATGCTGATGTCAGAAACAGACAATATTAAGAATTGTGTGAATGGAGTACAAGATCTAAAGTTTCCTGAACTTGGTAGCCTTGGGCAGTGATTCCATCCATATTCTAATCGATCTAGCTATGCTGCTGCCCTTTGCACCAGGAGAGCACAGCAGTGCTCTTAAATGAAGAATCCTAGCTTATTTCCATTTCAGGGTAATCATAGAAGAGAGATCCTCTAGCCAGGAGAAAAACTACCAGCGACTACATAGATTACATTCAGTATGGTGACATTATTGTTATACAATAAACACAGTCTTTCATTAAATTCCATCTCTGATCCCTCAACAAGGCTTTTTATCAACTACTTGGAGGCACCAATGGATGGTACGCCCATCATGTCATATTGTAGCAGTTAGATAGCACAGTGGATAGAATGCTGGTCCTGGAGTCAATGAAGTTTAACTCCAGCCTCAAGCACTCAGTAGCTGTGTGACCCTGGGCAGGTTATTTAATCTCCATCTGCCTTAGCTTCTTCAATTCTAAAATGGGGAGCATGATAACACCCCCCTCACAACTGTGCGGATCAAATGAGATACTATTTGTCGAGTGCTTACACATAGTAGGAGCTTAATAAATGCTTATTCCTTCTTTTCATCTAATTTGCATATGGCACAAAGCTGGGAGGAATTACTAACACATTGGATGGCAAAGTCATGATCCAAGATGATCTTGATAGGCTTGATGTTCAAGCTGAATCTTATAAGATGAAATTCAGTAGGGATTAATGTAAAGTTTTACCCTTGGGTTCAAAAAATCAACTTTACAAGTATAGGATAGGGGAACCATGATAAGAAACAAATTTGTTTGAAAACATTCTTGGGTTTTTAGTAGTACTATTAGTTCAGTATGAAGTCAGTTGTGTTGTATGGCAGGTAGTCAAATAATCTAATGAGAGCTTGGGCTACACTGAGGAGTATATGTAGCTTCTAGGAATAAGGTGGTGATCCCCTTGTACTCTGCCCTCATCAGACACCATCTGGAGAGATGGATTCAGTTCTGGGCACTACAATTTAGAAAGGGCATTGATAAACTGAAAAGATCTGGAAGAGGACCACCAGGATGTTGAAGCGCCTTGAGTCCATGCCATTTGAGAATCAATTGAAGGAAGTGGGCATATTTAAGCTGGAGAATTCTCAGGATAGAGCATAATAGCTGTATTCAAGTATCTCAAGATCTGTTAAGTTGAGGAGAGATTATACTTGGCCCTAGAGGGCAGAATTAGGTGCAATGAGTCTGTAAGCATATTAAGCCTTTCCCCACCTCCACCCAATTCTCTTTTAAAACGACACATTACAAAATAATATTAAGACAATATTGTAGTCAGAAGTTCTTGGTGTGAAACTTAGTCATTCTTTTTTTAACTATCAATTCCAAAAACAGTTTCCTGTGCTGAAATCTTTTTATGTCACTCTTACAAAAAGCCTTACCAGACTCTAAAGAGAAGGGCCTGATCAGCCCAGGAAAGAATTTCCCTGAAATTGACTAGGGTAATGTTCAAACTAAGAGAAGCAAGAACATATTTGCTTAATTCAACTAATAGAAGTATCTCTTGAGCTCAACTTTGATCAGGCTGAAATAAGACTTCTTGGAGTAGTTAAAGCCCGCTTGAATGGTTTTAGGAAAATTATTCTCCAGGGTGGAACGAAAGTTGAGGGATTATTCTGTTTGAAGTATCTAAACTATTAGCTGTGTTAATAGCGTTTTATCTTATTTTGAAATGTTGCCTTTTGTTAAATGAGTACAAATGTTTGTGTCAGTGAAATTTTCAAAGACAGGATGGATTTTTGCCACTGTGGATTTCCTTTCTCTCTAGCAAAGATGCTTAGAATTAGTTAATTAACGAATTTGTCCCTGGAAGACTTGTGCCTAAAAGTTTTTCTTTCACAGCATGGAAATTTCAGAAGCCAATTGATGTAATGGAAAAACTTCTTAACCATTATAGCTCTCCGGAAGTGTAGGAAGCAGTGGGTTTCACCTTCCTAGTGGTCCTCTAGCACATGCTAGGTCAATAGTGTCAAACTCAGATAAAAACAAGGACTACTGACCATACATAAGGATCCCTACAGGCTGTATTTTGACTTAGAAAAACATACATTAATATTATTTCTGTTTAATTGTATTTTTTATTTATTTTGTTAACCATTTATCAATTCAGTTTTAATGTGGTTGTGTGTTGCATGCATGTTTGGCACCTCTTGGCTAGAGGACCACTTCATATTCAGGTCATTTTCAGGTGTGGGCTGAACTAGG